CAGCAATCCCTAAGGAACATCGCTTTTCACTTGTCTCCACTTGGACACCAACTTGTTGACCACAACTCTTTGAGTGTGACCATCCAAACAATTCCTTATCCACCAAGTGGTCCATCCATCAAACCCATGACTTTCCAACTTAGAGACCAGGATGTCATGTGGGACAGCACTGACCGCTTTGCCTAAGTCCAGGTAGATGACATCAGTTGCCCTTCCCTTATATACCAGCACTGTAGCTCCCCGGTAAAAGGCCAACAAATTCATCAGGTACAATTTTCCCTTGATGAAGTCATGCTGGTTGCCACCAATCACCTCCTCATTCTCCATGTGTCTTAGCAGAGCCTACAGGAGGATCTGCTCCATGATCTTGCCCGGCGCAGAGGTGAGGCTGACTGGCATGTATTTCCCAGATCTTCCTATACCATGATTGACTTGTTATTATCTTTTAAAACACAAGTCCAGAAGAACCCTGAATTTGTGACTGATTTCACCTTAGTTAGAAGCTGCACTTTTGTAATGTCATCTGCTAATAGACTTCATTATTCCTGGTTGCCCAAACTATGAACTTATACTGATGATCGTTAAAATCTTTCTTCCTAGCATCTTCCTTAGCACTACTAAAACCTATGTTATCCTCAGTGCAGTAAAGGGACAGAAGAGGTCTAAGTGATATTTTAGAAACAGTGGCAAAACACATTATTTACCTCTTTATTGTGAGTCCTTGCTGCAACATTACTCATGAATTACAGATAACTTAGTAGTTTCCTGAGTACCTGTATCTTTGCTTTTTCACGTGAAGACCCCTTTACACATAACTCTCAATTAAGGCCATATTCTGTAGGGTAGTTATCAACAACACTTTGCTAACCACAAGAATTGGCAAGTTAAAAAATGAAAGTAAAAGGACACTGGAAAAATAAGAGCTCCATCTGCCCAGCAAAATTTTATCAGCAATGACATCAAAAACATTCAGCTTGGTTCCTAGATGCTGGTGGAGTTAAAAGGAAGACACTCCAATGGGAAAAAGAAGAGTTGTAATGTATAAACTAGGCACTTCAATCCAATGAAAGAAGCAATTAATACCTTCTTATGGCTGTTCCTTGTCAGAGTAGCCCTAGGCTAGTCAAACAACCTCATTCAACTGGCCTGTTCTCCATATAGCTCAACAGAACGAAAGGGACTTTTTGAGAATTAGTGTCACCACAAGAAAAAATGTAACATTATTTACTATGTTTGGGTTTTATTCTTTCTTTGTTTGTATTTAACCAAATAACAACTTGGCCTCTGCTTTTGAATAGTTCCCTCACAAATGCTGAAATCCATTCAATGAAGAAAAAAAAAAGTTTTCTTCTCATCTTTGACATTTTTCAAATTCTGAACCCAAAGCTGAACTGAACTTTATTTATACTTACTGTCTGCCGGAAGTAATTTCAGGAATCTGAAAGTTATTATTTGGCAATCTTTAGTGCTATTATTTTACATTTACCCAAAATGCAGTTGTATTTTTCAAGAAGTCACATATAACTATGATTCTATGAACTACTGCATTTCAAGATGCATCACTTACTGTAACACATTCATCTATTCTGTAAGATGTAACAGCTAACATAGCCCTGGTGTGAGAATTCCAGCATCAGGAAGTGTAGCCAATGGGGGAATAAGATATATTGTGTTTAAATCTAAGAGGGAGTGAGCACCACACATCTAACCTAGCAGGCAGAAAAAGAGCTGAAAACAGTACCATGAAGAAAACATCTGCAACAGCACTGTGCCATTTATACATTCTGAACGTAACCTGGTTGGACATATCATATTTTCATTCTAATTTATTTTAAAGTGTCAGAAACTTTGAACTGCTCCAGACCCCTTCTATGTACACTATCAAAATGCAGCATGCTTTAGCTCACCACTACAAAAGTTGTAGAGGTGCAAGGATTAATATTCACTTAACAGGGTGTAAAAAGTTAAGGGGTAGAAAGTAAAGGAATATGGGAAACTGGAAACACTTTATAGTCAGCACAGGGTTTTTTTAATAGTAAAGAGTATCCTTGCTTCCCATTTTAACTAGATGGGTCACATTTTCTACTGTAAAAACAGTCATGACTTCACTAAACTTGTGGAACTAACCCTAGCAGAATATATGTTGCTAGATTCGTGATTTCTGATGCCATGAGAACAAAATAAGGCTTTTAAGTAATTAATATAAAGCCACTTAAAAATGTTCGGTAAATACAGTAAGTCTACTTATGCTGACAAGATATTACCTTGCTTGAAAAAATGACCCTCCTTTATGCACATTCAGAGAAGTCCAAGAAGAATTGTATTGTTTTACTTGTAAAATTTGTGAAAACAATTATATGTTGGCTTGCAGAAATGCTTATTATTTGACTCTAGATGCCTATTTTCAAACATTTTTCACAATAGCAGTGTTCCAGTTATTGATGTCTCTGTTGGATCAATGTTCTTTGAGAGGTGTTGTTACACAGAACTGAATATGCCCTAATTTCTCAAAGGAAGATAAGACAGTTACTATTAACTTAAGATGACTTTCAAAGACATTGACAGATGTGTTAGGTTTAAAGTGTTAGAAGACATTCTTCTTTCCCTTAATAAAGTGTATATAAAGTGTGCCTTTACCAATTATTACTAACATCTTCATGCCACCTTTTAGTAGCATTAAAATTCAGAATATTCACCTTATTGTACTGTAATGCAAATACTGCTGGATGGCTGTTGTGTCCTCTTCACTTTCACAGACCTTCACTATCAGTTTTATCACAAAATTACTGTTGGTAAATTACTGTTGGTGTCAGATCTAACATTTGAACTGCTGCTCTAAGAAACAACTCTCAAAAAAATACACTTGTTTCAGATCTCAAAAACACCATGCAGTACTATGGAAATCAACTGGATAATACATTTATCCAAAATAGTACAACATGCTTGCCACACCACATAGGCATAATGCACTCAGCATCAAGAGATTCTAGAAAAAAAGTTGTTTATCAGCCTATACATCTATCTGAATGGAGCATGTACAGTAACTGCTTTTCAGGACACCATCAAGTGGTGAGCAGAATGAGTGCATTTTAATTCTAGAGAAATCAGCTGAAAGAAAAGAGAGTAACATAGTGTTGTGTTACATTTTAATGCCAGAACCCTAACTGCAATAGTTAGAGCAATAGAGTAGCTACCAAGTATGCCAGTACCGTTAGATCATGATTACATATCAAGCTGCACACAACTGTTTTAAATGGAAGAAGAGAAATGTAGGAAACTGTAACTCTGCAGAAAGTGTTGCCTCTTTCTTTAACTTGAAATACAAGCGTATTAATTGGTATTTACTTTAGACAACCTATGCATCCACCCAGACATACACAAATAAATATCATACAGTTTAACCTGTGAGATAATCTGTAAACTTCTAAAATGTTTTAACCTTGATTTGTAAATCCAAAAATTTCACTGTACTAAAACTCCCTCTGCAAAGTCAAGAATTTTATTCCCAGAACATTATAAAGATTACTACCCAGAGTACCATCAGACTAGTAGTTACATAGATCACTTCACTAGTTATACACCATACGAGAGATTTTTCTCCAGTTTAAATAACTGACTAGCAACAGTAAGTTCCCAGTGTTCCCACTAAGCTTCATCATTCTTCTTTTATTCATACACAAATCTTCAAAAATACTATTTTTAGTCCATATGGCTTGAATTAGTTAAAATCTAGCAGATATCATCATCTAGTTTCATGGCTAGTTAAAACATGTGGAATAGGATGAAGATGACTTCAAAGAAATTCAGTACATGATTTAGCAAAAGTATGCATCCTGCCTTCTGAAGGAAAGTTTTAATCTAGAAAATCTAGTATTTAAATTTTTCATTAGCTCTGTTGAGCTAGTGAATCACATTTCGTCTCCAAGAGAGTACAAAAGCATTCCATAAACTAAATGTTGTTTAAAAATATTGGGGATTTTTGTTTCCTTCTACAATAAGGATGCAAATTTGAAAGACTAGTGGTACAAGCAAAAGAAATATGGAAAATGAAGTAGCATGTTACTGTTTCAGTTGCAACTTGCCACTGCATCTTGCAAATAAATTACAACTGTCATGCGTATAAACTGTTTCAATTTATGTATAAAAAACCTTTAATTTTTCCACAGCCTTTTTGATATTTTTTTGCTGCCTGTGTTCTTCAAGATGAGAACATTAAAAGCTAATAACTCACATTGACAACTATTTCTATACAATTTTCCATCACTGTCCTGTTTTCTGCCCTTTCACCCTTCTCAGACCAAACCAATTCAAACTTCTGCTTCAAAAGCAAAAGGACCTATCTCTTGCCCAACCTTCTCTATATCCATAAAATGCCAGGGTGTCAAATGAGGCCATCTACTCCTCTTTATTTCCTATTGGTATGTGAAGGCCAAAAGTGCATGTTGGAAGAATGAATAAGAAGTAAGGTATACATCAACATTTTTGCCCAAACTGCAGAGATACATTTTTAGACCAATATATTATTGATGAAGGTACTTAGATGTGCACTTCCAATGGACTTCCTTAATGGCAGCCATTCAATCCTACATCAATATATCGCAGTTAAGTTTTATTCTGTGCTGAAAATAAGTAATGTAGTAATTTACAACAGGCCATCTTTATTGGCCAGGAAAGTGTATTTTTGAAAAAGAAAATATATTGCATTTATCCTACCAAGGCCTCCATATGGATGTTTATCTTCTCTGGAATAAAAACAACAAACAGTAAAAATAATTAGGATAAAACTCCCTCATCTGGTGCTTGCTTTATTTGCACTGTAAAAATAATCTGGTCAACAATACGGGCATGTATTTAAATATGGGGAATCACTCACTGAAAGATACTGTTTCAGATTAATGTCACCTAATGCCTGAAATCTGTATCCCAGATTAAAACACTTCTCCCAGCCTCTCTCCAAGAAACACAGCAGGCAGTATCTTCAACAGCAGATGAAGACTCACCTTATGACAAAGTCATGGCTATCAATCTCTTTTCCACATCCACTGTCCAGAAGGATGCCTGAATTCCCAACAACTGCACAGGTTTTAAATCGGCGATTCTTCATTGGAGAAACTTCAGGGAGAAGGCTGTGCAAATCCTGAGAAATGTTTAGCGTGCGACGTCTGTCCAGTACATAATGAATCACATCTCCTGGCTTGAAGCTGCTTTTGACCACTGAGACATCTCTTTCAGCATCCAAGAATCGAAGAATGTTCTTTCTGGATTGGTAGAAAAACACACAGATAAAACCCAATACTCTCTGCTGCCATGGAGTTCATCTAAAAGTAGTACGGACTGTACAGAACATAGAGCATAAAGCAGAGGGTAGACAGTGTCAGACAAACTAAGGTCATTTCCCATGCTCTAGTGTGGAGTTAAGAGCAAAGCTGTTAGGACAGAATTCAAATGTGGGCTACCATGTGACACACAAATACTACATTGATAGAGCTTAACAACTTCCTACAGACAAAGGCAGTGAGACACCAAGGGAAGATGATTTTGGAAATAAGAAGGTGTACTACTTTTGAGTATTTTACAAACGTTTGGAATAGACACATATTTCAAAAAGGCCCAGAACAGTTTGTTTTCATGGAAATACAGTTAAATATACAAGATATTTATGATTTAGGAAATGAATGTTTCACAACAATCTCATCTCTCACAAATCATCTTGGTTCAGGAATGGCCATGTTCTCTTACAGATTCTTATTTCACTGTAGCATACTCAGTTTAGCATAAATTTGCTCCTAATTAACTGAAGGTCAGCCACATCTACCCTAATTAACTTGAAATACTAATACCCACAGTCTTTTGTACCAGCTTAAACAAAATCAGCTTAAAAACATACTGTAGCTCAGTCTAGTCAAGCCATTAGCTGAACTCACAGAAACACTTATGAACTCTATCATTGCTTTATATCAGGTTTGTCCAATCCTATGCATTGCTTCTCTGCAATTAACTGTCTAAACTGATAGCTGAGTTCAGACACACATAACCAAGACACGAGGGTTTAACAAGCTATCTTGAGTTAAGTGAAGTATGGCAATTCAACAGCTGTGTACTCGCAGTCCACAGCAACTAACAGGTGAAGAACGCGTGCTCAAGTATCAGTGGAAGAAGTTAAGTCATGGTAGTTGTAGCTGCTTATGGAGGTAGGGGTCTAAAAACCAACACACTTTCAATACACGAGTTCAAATAAGACACTTTTGATGGCTACAGATACGTAATGACTGATACCTGCACTGGTAGTATCAAGCAGTTTTCAGTACACGATTATCCTTAGTGTAAAAAGCTGAAAAGGACTCCAGGCCAGAGCTGCAGGAGCCACCGGTAGCTCTGAATTGCAAATGAGCAAAGCCTTACAAGCTTGTGTCCATTCCCACTCTGCAAAGCTTGTACCTTTGTGAAGAGGCATAAAGGTCACATCGGAATGTAAACACATACTTAGACATGGATTGCATACATACAATTGGCTTATGGAAGAGACAGGGAATGCTGAGCTGGGGCAGGATGTTCACTAATGGTTAACTGAAATAGAAATTTTTGCTCCTGCAACTGTAACAAGACAAGAGGAAAAACCAGGAACTTTTTATTTTCCACTGCTGTCAGCAGATAACATCCAATTTAAAAGAGAATAGGCAGTTTCTTGAGTAAGAGAATGCTATTTTCATGTAATGTTTTTAGAGCAGAACCTCCTTAGAGCATACCAAAACAGGAAGGGATAACTAGAGGTGCTGTTCTAGCAGTTGCAACACCCAGAGACACAACAGGGAAAAAAATCCCTCCGAAATGAAAAGGGATGAACTGTAGAAACACCCTGCTTACCAGCCAGCTCTTGTGTCACTGCCTCAGGAGGGAAGAATACAACCGAACCTTGCAACCAGTGACACAAAACACTCACTCTGACACTGACATTAAAAGTTATAGTGTAAGTGAAACATGGTAAAAATATTTTTTCAAGTGTTTCCTCTCATTTCTTAAGCTAGGATGAAAAAAAAAAAAGCATATCTTGGTGTCTTGGCCTGCCTGTTACAGCTGTCATGTACAACTGGAGAGCCACCAAAGGAAAGACAGCTTGTGCTGAGATACACAAGTGTCTCAGAATAATGCACAGGCAACATTAAAATCCTGTCTAAAGCTTTTGGTAAGGGTAGGCAAGGTATTTCTGTAAAAGGAGGATGAAGATTCCACTTCAGCCTGTAAACTGAATGGACATAAAATCTCCATGGGTTTGATAAGCTTTATTTTGTGGGTACTCTGCTACAGATATATACATTGCTACAAGATTAAAAAGAGGAAGAAAGAAGGAATTGCCCAATCTAGCAGTATTAAAAATGACTGAAAATCTTCATGACTTAAGAACAAAGTTACCAGAGCTATGGCTGTAAAGGATAACATGAATGTATCAAAAGTTATCAATAGCATCAGCCAAGCTATCCAAAGACGCACTTCACGTGCACTCTGACCTGAGAAGGGGCGACCACAAACTTATCTTAAAAAGCAAGAGAAATTACGTGAAGCGTACAGAAACCTATGGCTCTGACTGAAACACTCACATGTGATCACAGGAAGACTTGCTTCAGTAATTTAAAGCACCCACGCCTGATAGCTAGAATGAATGGGCTTAACACCCTTCCTGTTTCCAAGAAGTAGCAACATTTGTGCATGAATATAGTGTCTTGTGTATTATTTTAAAACATAAGAAGAAAGCAGTGAAATGATGCAAACAGTGCCAGAAAAATAAAAGCCCTGACTTCCATTATTAATTTGGTTACTTACAGTCAAAGCTTATTTATCTATGTGCTTACATATGCTCATAGAAGTCCTCCAAGGGGTTTCAAGTAGACTTGAATTAGATTCAGATAAACAAGCACTTGTTTATTTAACAGAGTTGAAATTCCTAAAATGCCTAAGGAATTTATTTTTCGATAAAATTTTGAGAAGGGCAAAAGTCACTGAATCATTATCTTATCAAAGATTCTAAAACGTCTTCTTATCTGAAGTTGTCAGTAGCATATTCACTTACACATATGCACAGGTATTACAGTATACATAAGAATTCTTGTATAAGAGACCTGTAATAATGCTAACATTAAAATAGTGCAGCTGATTCACCTGACTGTGTCCAGATATCTTTTAATACTGTAAGAAATATGATTAAGAGTGCAGAGTTCATGCTACTGTTTCAAGTTCCTCTGTGCTACTGACTCAACTGTACCATGGTGTAGTGGTATTCCTATTTTCATGTAAGTGCTAGGAGAAAAAAAATTACTACGGGATATGACAAAACCTGAAAGTACACACATGAGTGTCTCAGTCTTGATTCTGGTTAATAAGAACTTGTTTATACCTCTGTTCTGTCCCACAAAGAGCAGTGAAAATAGTACAAGGTTATTCTGATTAAACAGATGTGACAAGTAATTTAAAATAAATGCTAATCCACATCCAGCTGCATATAAAATTCAAAAGTAAGGTCTATTAGAGGAAGAAAAAAAAAGCATGATTTTTAGCAAACCCTGAAACAATGGTGTTCTGCAACCTCAAGCTAAAATCTGTAAAGAAACTCTTTCATTTGAGGTGGTCTTCAAGTTTTGTTTTGGTGCATAAAACTGTATCTGGGGTGTGGCCTGAACCCTTTGTGGGCAGGTGAGGCAGATGTGACTCACTCTTATCTGAAGCCAAGCAACTGTTTGCAGAATGTTTACATGACTCACAGGACCATGGTGTCACAATCTGTGGTTGACCTAGGGTTTTTCTATGATAACCAGAAACAGATGTCTGTAATATTTAAATACCAACTACGAGTCCCAGTCATCTGATAAAGTATATGATTCTGCAACAGCATTGTCTCAAAACAGCTTTCCAAATTATAGATGTACTGCTTTGGGGAAACATGGTGACATTTTAATTTATGTACATTCTTCTGGGTTTACTTTGCACTGTAGTCTTTGTAATACACAGTTATTGTGTAACGGAAAACTCTCCCTCATGTGCCCTAGAACTGTGCGGATTAAGGAAAGAAAATGAATCACTTAAACATTTGACTTTTAAGATTACAAATAAAATTCATATATTTAGACATTATCAAGAACACTGAAATATGACCTCCAACATTTTTCCTGGGAAAGTCACTCCTTTCAAGGAAGGCAGTGCCAGAAATCCTCGCTGCTGGGGCATCTGGCGTTGTCTAGACCCCAACCATGAGGGAAAGCCCCTGAAGTGCATCCTCAGTATCAGGAAGCTGGGTTAGCTCACCAGCAACCACATTATGGAAACAGAGGCCGACTAAGTGATTACCTAGTCCACGCTCCACAGTTTGCTTCTGCTGAAGACATGCCTTTATCTACATCACTCCTAGCCCATGTTTATCAAATATTTTCCTAACAGACTCCCACGGTGGGGACCACCAGCACAATACGCTTGTGCTCTTGTAATAGCCTTAATTTACCCGAGGCCAAGAAGCCATCCAAATTCTTCTAAAAGATTTTTTTAATTAAAATTTTATTTTAAAATTTCCAACTTTTTAATTGGACAGGTCATGGGATTATAGATCTCTGACCCCTCCTGCTAAAGACTTTCTCTGACTGATTCACACAGGTCTTTAAACAGTTTTCTAACTCCAGCAAATGCTGACACTGCTTTGTATTCCCCATCTGAAAGGCAGAAGGTGGCTCTGAGCCTTTGAAATCACCAACAACTACAGCCTAGGTAAAGCATACTTTCTGCCAGCTAAATTAGTTTAATTAAACAAACAAAAAAAAACCCCCAAAAAACCCAACCAAACAAAACAAAACCAAAACCAAACAAACAAAATTAAAACAAACAAACAAACAAACAAAACAAAACAAACAAACAAAAAAACCCAAACAAACACACCCAAAGCAAAGCAAAACAAGAACAAACCATGGTAACTCAAGGTCACAGCCTGCCCTTATATACGGCTTCACCTACAGCTCCTGCTGACCACCTGAGGAGGCAGTGGGCACTGCGAGTGTTTGTGCCTGTGCTGAGTTTGGCTGTAATCTGACTGAGAGTTTTAAGAAAACCTCTTCAGGGAAAGCAGCATTTAGAATCATAAAATATTTGTCATTGGAAGAGGTCTTTAAAGGTTATCTATTCCTTTAAAGGACTTGGATTTGGAGCCAAATTTGGATTTGTTAATAACATGCCAAACTGCAGCTAATCATGGAAAGGTTGCTGGAATTCCCCAGCCCATGGAGGGCCACAGAAACAGAAGTGCCACATGATGGGAAGCTGCTGTCTGGCTCTGTGCCCACTCCAGCCCTCCTCACACCCTTCAGGACACCCCCCTGTCCCTTGACCAGAAAGGGCCATTCAGTAGCTGAAGCACACAGATCTTCAGTGGGTACCAAAAGGAAAAAAAGGCTTTGGAACAGAGTAAGTCAACCACTGTTTACCATATGAAGGCCAGTCATGGTAACTGTCCAGTTAAGCGACTTAGAGTCAAACAAAAGGAGTCAAAGGAATTAATCATCATAAGTGACAGTGAACACTGACTTTTCAGTGGAGACAAAGGTCTAAGGAGGCAAAAAAAGCTTCAGGTTTATTGACTGAAACAGACTAGAGAGGCCCAGTTTGTGTGTCTTAAAGAGACACTGGTGATCCGCAGGAAATAGTGCAACTGGCCCTTCACAGCTACTGTACTGCTCCATTCCTAGTTCAGAAGTTACTGTTTGCACTTCAGGGACTTAACACATCCGTTCCATATTAACTTGAAAGATAAGCAATGATAATAATCTAAACCTTTCTAAAGAGGAAGTTGCACTTATTTTTTTCTTTTTTCTTTATTACACTGTCAACATCTTAAAAGTTCTCACGTTTTTCTGACAGGAAATTTCCACTCATCAAGTTCTCCATCACACTGCAAAAACATAAATACATCCTTGACACACTTCTTAAATTTTTGCCTTCCTGCAATTCAAAACCTCCATCTGCTCTTTCCAACATAAACACCCACATTTAATCAAAAATAAGTGGAAAAAGTCACACACTGAAATGTCAGATTATAGTTGATTCCACACAGTTCACAGATGTGCTGGCATCACTCCTGTGTGGAAAGCTTCCCCAGATAGGTTTGTACCATCTCAGCTACATCTGTCCTTTTCAGTATGGCCTTCAACCAATACAACTGGAATTTCCTAACTTCCATAACTGGAAAATCTTCACATTGCCAAAGAAAGTTGAAAAGACTTCAGATACAAAACTTTGCAGATGGTGGATTCTCTCTCTTCCCCATTACTGAAATCACTCACACAGAAGGGGAGCCAAGAGAGCAGTTTTCTTCCCTTAGGTGCAGGAATTACCAATTCTTCTTCAAAGAAGCGGTCAGCAATCAGAAGGTGACATCAGTTGGAAAAATCAGTCTCCCAACAGACCAATCACAAATGGCAAGGCAGTAAATTTGATGCAGTCTCAAGAAATTAATAACACTCATCATTTCCACCTCAATCACAGAAAGTCTAGGTCTTGCTTATAATGTCTGCTTAACATCTCCAAAGGGCTTCTGCCCTCCCAAAAGAGCTGCTACACTCCCCAGATTTCCTCTTCTGGCTGCAAAGTCTCAGAGAGCATCTTGTGACACCAGAAACCCAATGGTAGCTTTTCATCCTCCCATAGGGTCCTGGTAAAGGAGCTGTTTCACTCACTGATTCCTAGTTGAGCCTGCTCTTCCCAAAAATTCATAAGACATTTGAGGCTGATAGACTGGTCACTAACCTGAGCAAAACCAAGATAGCCAGAGATGATGCCCATGGTCAACAGGGGAAAGAGCAAAGCATAATATTCCAGCTGTCAACCAGCTACATCCAGGCATATCACTGATCAACAGTCCTTGCATGAAGCAAAACTCACTATCAAATATTTTCTGTGTTTTAAAATTGCTAATGTGGATGTCAAGCTGACCTAAGACACAAAGGTAGCTGCCATTTATGGGCGACTATAAGTTTTACGAAATGTGTTTATGCTGTACACCAATGATTTTACAAATTATATCTCCACTGCTAAGAACTGCTAACTTCTTACACATTATTCAACAGGCACTAGCTTTTTGTTTGTTCCTCTCTTACAGCTATTTCCAATGGTTGATTTCACACCACAAGATGACCACTGTTCACATTGACGATTGCAATAAATGAGTACGAATCATATTCAAGGTCTACACAAGGCATGCAATGTACTTTGGAGGGCTGAACAGTTAGGTTAGACCAAGAGAAGCCTCTAGGAGGTTGCTAGACACATTTGAAGTTAGTCCTAATAGGTCTGTAAGTGTAAAAACATTTACTGCAAAGATGCTTCTTGCTGTTGTGACAAGGAAGAAAGGTGTATAGCAAGCTGCTGGTAAAAATGAAAGAAGAATGCACATTGTTTAATCAGCATCAGAGTGGAATGCTTATCACAAGGGGCTGCAATGGCTTCCTCAGAGAAAAGCATGTCACACTTCCCTCCCTCCTAACTATGGTATGCTATGACTATGGAAAATGCTACACTTATTAGTAAAAAATTATTTCTGGAAAGACTATGACTGGCTGGTAGCACTGACTCCTTTCATGTAGTTTATGTCAAACTTTGACCCTAAGCCACATTAATCTAATGACTTTCACTGGTTCAGTGAAAGCATCTGCTCGCTGCCACAGTGTTCATGGTGCTAGCTATTTCATCTCAACTTCAGCTTTATGCTCTCTACTGTATATAAAGACTTTGTGCTAATAAAGTGGAAGCTTTGCTGCTCAAACCAGTGTATAAGACATATGTTTTTCTTCCCTGTACTGAGTAAACCAAAAACATCCTTCACTGTAAAATTTTTTAAAAAAATCACATAATCACATCATGATGGTTCTTTAGAGCACACTGGTAATTTACAAAATGAAAGATCTTCCCCCCACAGCCATAACACACGAAAATTTATTTTGAAACTTGTGATTTTAATAGATGGAGAGGATACAGATGTAGTAACAGGCTTAAAAAATTCTACAGCATTGCCTACTGTTTGACCTCTTTGTCAGTATTATGTATTTGGCTTTAGAAACAGATGAAAAATGAACATAACCCATGCTTCATTTTCTTCCTGAATTTTAATTAAAAAGTTATTGTAATATTTTTACTTTTTTGTTGTTTGGCTTGAGCAGCAAGGTGTATTGGTTTTAAATGGTTCTGAAACATGACACTTTTTCAACTGAATAACTGAAAAGAGTTATCCGTCTCTACTTACAGTCACTCAATGGCTTCCAGACCAGTTTACTTCACAAGTAAAAGTGTGCTATTTTCTCCTAACTGGCAGAACCAGAACCTATGATTTGATATTTCAAGTGTTCTTCTGAAGTTATGAGGTTATATTTCTCCAACTTAAATTGTAAGTTATATGCACATTTAAACACTGTTACTGATCTAGAAAATCTGCTTATCTTTCCTAGACTACCTTGCAGCAGAATTTAGCCTTTATGTGCAGCCACATACTGGTCAAACAGGCTGCATCTGAACAGACAGTTCTGGAAGAAATTCTGCTCCTGACCTGCACCTCGGCTGCACTTCAGGGCCACCACCAGGTCTTCAAATTCCTATTCATAATCTTAACATTCAAAAAAATCAAGTCTACTGTGCTTTAGGATGCCTGCTAAAACCAGTCATTTCCTGCAATGTTTTCACAGAATGTGACACCCCCAGCTTTCGGGCCAACCCATGCTCCACACCCCTCTGTCACTGGTCACCTTCCAAATTAAGATAAGGAAAATACAATGACATATATCACACTAAGAGGCTTCTTCTTTCTCTTCTTTCAGGCCCCAATATAAGTAGACCCACTGTAGCTACTAAGACACATTAGAACTACCACTCTGCTACTGTGTTTTGCCCCCTCAGCATGAGCCTAGGGCTCCTTTTGGCTCCTCTGACTTCGGAAAACTGTCTAAGATATGGGTACTGTCAATGCCTGACCTTGTGACTTGGATCAGTCACAGAGAGGGTTGGATTTGCAGCACCTGATGTCCTAGCTTGACTCCTACATCTAAGTTGCCTGTCTAAGCTCCCTTTGTAGTTAAGGGAGAAAAACTGATATGTTCAGGGTACTTCCATCTGTTCTATTTCAGATCTTTAGGCTGACAGAAAATCAAGTCCTCCGAGTGCCAGTTTCTCAACACTGACTGCAAGAGAGTTCTAGACAACCAGCTCAAATGTGGACATGCATAATGTTGATGCTGACTGCCTGGGTCTGACTGACACAGGCAGATGAAAACATTTTATTTATGCTTACGAAATATAACTTGACTTTGGAGTCAAATGTAATTTGGTTGCATTTAACACTGAACACTAAATATGTCCAGTTAAAAACATCCACCTGTAACTGTAAATCAAAACGACTTCCTTCCAGACCAGAAGAATTATAGGCAATACAGAATGAAAAGAATTATAGGTAATATGAAATGAACTGGGTTTTTTTAAGACACTCACCTTATTTCCAGTACCAAAGAAGAATTGATTCTCCAACCTTCTACAGCATGCTGGAAGACTGAGGAGCCACCCTTTTGAATTACCTTATCAGAGCTATTGATCATTGATCTACTCAAACTCAGTTCACCACCTCTGCAATGCAATAAGGAAAGGACACAGTTACATCAAGGCTAACTCTAGTTTTAAGTAATTTACTTCACAAGCACCACGGATATTTCCTTTTATTCACCAAACAAACAAACAAACAAACAAACAATTATCTCTCCGCTTGCAAAAGCAAATAACCTGTACCTGTGAGAAATCTATAGAACACCTATATCTCATACTTCAACAGGCCATATAGGAGCTTAAATATGTTTATATTTGTAATGAAACAGACATAACAAAACTTGCAATAAACTCAAAATTGTGACCCCATGCCAAATTTCAGCATGTTTGTGAGGTAGGTGCACTTCTATGTTCCAAACTTCCGAGTACTTAACAGATTTAAGTGTCAACTTGCAAGCCTTCGCCCAGCAACTATTCATGTTCCATAATAATGGCATAATGGACATCTTTTGCCTACTATTGATACTAAAAGACTTTAATTCACAGAGTTCTGGAGTTTAATCTCATACAAAGAAAAGACTTCCTGAAACTTTTGTATACACATATTCAAATAACCCCAGTTGTCTTAGCCTCTTCATGAACGTTATCATAGTCATAAATTTTGGTAAGGTAACCTTAAAAAATAAAAATATATAGTAAGTTGTTGGTGATGACCACTGACCATCTGATGAAGTCTCATAAAGTTACCAGTTGCAATGATATGAGCCCATAAGTTCACATAAATGTGACAAAGAAGCTGAAACACTGCAAGCACAACTTCAGATGTTAGGCCCAAGATCTGTTTTTATCTCCATGTGTTTCTATTATCCTTCGTACTGCTTCCATTTAGGTGCCAGAGCACCCTTCACCTAGTTCAAACATAGCTGTGAATGATAAAGACATCAAAGTTGTCAGACGTAACATTCTACTATGCAGAATGTCTTACATGTGACGAGTACATGTAACAGTAATATACGGAAACCTTTTCATCTATAAATAAGTGTGTTCTGATATACTGCCAGTAACAATACATTCACTTAGCTGGCAAACAGAACTTAATGACCACCAGCCATTCAACCAGCAAAACAGAAAATATGTGAGACTGTAAGCTTTCTAGGGAATTGCTGACTCATTTTCCTGTGGCTTTAAGTTCTTAAAACAATTGAATACTGCCCTTAGTAAGAGCTACAGCAATGCTAACACTCTGTGTGTGTATACATATAAAATAGAAATATTAATATTTGGTAAATTACATAGCAGACTACACTCAAACTAACCTGCAATGGGACGTTAAAGTAAATTAATTAACCAAAGCGGTAATACGTAGTCGTTTGCAGAACGTGCCATGGCTGCAAAAGCCGCTGTAACTCCTAAGTCCACATTACACACTCCACCACCGCCCAGCACGGCCGGGAGCGCTCTCCCCGCCTCGTGCCCCCTCACTCCCGCAGGCTGCAGCCCTGACATCACACTACCTCGTGCATCGGCCTGACACCTACCAGGAACCTGCAGCTTTAACCCACCGTGTAGGTGCAAGACCTGTGTGCAACCTCTCCAAACCATGCTAACTTGAGAGCATGGGAGGATGCTGCAGAAATCTCCAAATTCAATACCCAGAATGCAATTAATACTTTTTGCTATTTTAAAATATTTTATTTGCTAAATTTTTCCATGTTGGTTGTAAATATACCTATTACATATATTTTCCTGCATGTATTTTCTAGATGCATAGTTTATGCATGTAAAGCAAAATTACAAAATACATCCAAGTAAAGAACTCAGTATAAGAGTACTTCAGAGTCATTTCCAGTTTATGCTGGGTTAAACATTATTCAGCAGACAACTTAACAGTAACACAGTTGATAAAACTTCAACTATCAACAAAATATGCTGCCAACACCTTAAGCAACACAGCATTTGAAATGTGGTTGTCTTCCACATTCCCAATTTACATCTGCAGTGAGCTACACAGATTGCACAGCAAAGCAACCTTACATTATGCTCTCATGAGCTAAAAGAAGGTCATAGGCACTCTGTATTAAGTTCTACTATAAACACAAGTGTTCACTTACATGCTCCTTTCCTGTTTTATTGGTAGTGTTTTATTAACTCTCACTTAGAGCTATATTAAATAAACTAACACATCAAAGGCTGATTTCACTCCAGAAAATTCTTGACTGTGTAAAACATCTGTGAAATAAATTTGAGCTACTTTGCATGTTCACTGCAAATCCTCTCTGATGTAAATGAAACACGTGCCACAGTGTGACATCAACTTGTGGCTGACAATGTCAACCTCCGCTCAAATACCTTGCCTTGGTGACCAACCAGACCAATATAATAAGACTACATTTTCTCCTGAAGACAGTTCACTAATTTAAGTACCTCTCTTCAAGCATATTCCATCCCAAAGATAACACTGTCTAAAAAACACTGCATTCCACGTAATATGCCTGTTTCATTACCTGCTTAACTTTTAAAGGGACATTACTATCTGGTTGAAGAAGGGCACACATCTGAAATTACTGTCCCTAGCAAACTTTACTATGAGAACACAGATGATTTAAGGTTTATCACGTACTTTGGAATTGCACATAATTCATTTTGGAACATCTGGGATTTACCTGCAGTGTCACTAATAACCATAAATTGGACCACCTTGTGTTTTCACAGCTCTGCATTGCTTCTGTAAGTAAAACATTCCACAGAAAACTGTCTTTCTTCCCCAAGTGGCCAATCAAAAATAACCAAATGGAATGAGGCCTTCCTCCAGGAGAAAGGCAAGCGTAACATCAATAGTGGCAGTGGATCTTGGGGAGAGTGGGGGGTGGTGTTATTCCTGTTTCACACAGTACTAGATGGGACAAGAGACTGGAAAGAGTAACTATATTCCAATATCCTTAGCCAAAGTGAGAAGCAACAGACTGTACAAGAACCCTCACTGATACCAAAGAAGCAGAAACACCACTAAATGACCCAGCAGAATTACGTTACAGCTGTATTTTAAAGTGTTGTTAAGGATACAGTTATAACTAAATATAGTTATTTTCTTTCATGTAATATTGAATTATCATTTCATTTTAGTACCTTTTAATTGATGTCAAACTGAAGGGCTTTTTTTTAAAAAAAATACATATGGATTTATCAACTGGCTAATTTCAGAATCATATCAGCAGCTACTTCTAGTCTGACAGAAAAGTGTATGTACTAAGGGACATGCCTACCTTTAATGCTTATTCTCCCTCACACTTTCTCTCTCATATGTATTTTTGCACACCTACAATCCCAAAATTTTAAACTGCTGTACATCTTATAAGTACGCAGATACTACAGCACCACGGCAGAAACTGGGTTTACACCCAAGCTGAAAGCGAGGGAGTTACCAGAAAGCTGTGAAAAACCTTAGTGCAAGGGAAGCAAACATCTCATCATTAACCACATGCACACACAGGTGAGGCTCTCCCCTGTTCCGGGGAGGTGCAGAGGCCACAGACGCCCAGCTGCCTGTGCCCCACGGCCGCACCAGCTTGCCTGGGCAAGGGTCAGTGAAGACGCCCTTTCTGCGTTTAACTCTGGGCACCACAGGGGCAAAGGAGGGGACTAAGTAGCTTGTAACTGCTCCAGCATCCTCCAGGCCCCTACGGACATTTACAACCTCCTTATGCCTCCTCCTCAAATGAAGGCAAAGGCTTACACCAAAGGATGAGGCTCCCCTGCCTCCCTGTCGATTTGCACAAGCAAACAGAAAGTGTAAGCACCTTCCCTGCCTTTGCTGATTTCGCTCAGCCACCAAGGAATTCATGCGCACCTCCTGTGAAAACAAAAAACTGTACCCCTCCAAGGAGAAAAGGGCTTGGCTGAAGCCAAACATCTTCACAGGGGAGCTGCAAGTTTGCCTAAACAATGTCGAATACTGGTACAAACAAAATGCACAACACAGAGGAAGCTAAGGTGCAAACAAAAAATGGCAAGGGTTTCTTCGCCTTTTATTTTCAACCGAAGACAAAGAGGAGAGAGAAAATGTGTTAATAGAGGGTCTCAGCGAAGGACCAGGGTCTCCAACGGAGGAGCCTCAGGAGCAAAGGACGATGTCCCGTACGCTCACAGACTAAGGATCACTAAGGAGCATCGAAGTACAGCTCCCAGGCAAACTTCAAGGACGGAGACAGAGGCCAGCTGGAGCTGACAACTGCCGCGCATCACGGCACGCTCGCCCCTGAAGGGCTCCCCCAGCAGGGAACGCGGCACAGGGCGTTC